TGTTGAGGACATTTCCTCATCAATTTCTTAAAATTCTCCCAAGCCTCATAAAGAGTCTCTGTCCCATGTTGTTGAAAATTCACGATGGTTGATCTTAAAGCAGCAGCTTTGACAGGTGCAAAGAATTTTGTAAGGAATGCATGTTTGGGTCCATTCTAGGAGTTGATTGAATTATTGGGTAGAGTGTCCAACTATTTTGTGGCTAAGTCCTGCAATGTAAATGGAAACAGTCTCAAGTAAACCTCGTCCTTGGACAAACCTTGAATTTTGAAGGTGCTACACAGTCTTAGGAACTTCCTGATGTGCTTTTTGGGATCTTCACTAGGCAGTCCATAGAAAGGACAAGTAGCTTGCACCCATTGAATCATTTGAGTTTTGAGCTCAAAGTTCTCTGCTGCAACATTATTGTACACAAGTGGATTCTGAACTTCTTCCTCTTGGAGTACAAAATAATCTCTTAGCAGTCTGAGTGGAGCTGGTTGTAGCTCTTTTTCTTGAGGTTGATCAGCTGCTGCTACCTCTGCCATCTGCTTTTGATTTTTAAGAACACGAGCAGCAGCTTCTCTGTTTCGCAAGGCTTTGGATCTCCTTGTCATGATTTTAATTTCTGAATCATAACTTAGCTCTCCTGATAGATTGCTTCTAGTCATAAACCAGTAATCAAAACACGAAAAGTAATAATAGCAAGAGTTGTGATTTGAAAGAGTGAATTTGAGTAAAAGCTGAAAACTAAAAAGAACAAATTCAGAACACAATAATCAGAATTTAAGGATTTTTAACGCCATCCCCGGCAATCGGCGAGTGGCTTTCGCCACTTGACAAAGTGACAGTCTGAACTCATGTTCCTGCTACTACTCTGTTTCTAACCAACTAACTTATTACCTAACTACTGTATTTGTAACTGATTCTAACTACCCAATCTGTCCTCCTTTTCTACTGCTATTGGCTGACTATTTATAGAGATTTGGAGAGGCTTGGATTGGTGGAGTTTTGGTCTTCCTTGCAGCAGATTGGAGGAGACATCAAGTTGCAGTAGCCAAAGGCATTTGTTTATTCAGCAACTTGCCCAATTGGCAAGTTGTGTTTTCTATGGTCAGCTCCTTCCTTCTTCAGCTGCAATTAGTCACCTTCTACTCATCATTGCTACTTCTCCTTAGTCTTCTTCTCCAGCGCCTTCTCACCATTTGCAGTCATAAATCTCCATTTCTTCATTCTTTAATCCTCACAACTCAATTTGCAACAGTCAGAAAGCAGCAGCATCAGCAACATGCTTCCTTCCATCATTGTGTTTCTAGCGCGCAATTCAGCCTCAATCTTCTGCCCTTTTCTTCCTTGTTTCCTGGGTCACTTGCTATACCATTGCTCACCCTTCTGCAGTAGCCAATTCATCAACTCAGTAACAGCATCAGTTGGTAAGTAGCAGAGTTGCAGCTGCTGTTCTTCACATATTCTCCCTTTTCTCTTCTTCCACTTGCAGCAACAATAACTTGCAGTGATGGCAAAGCAATTTCCTTCCTTGGGCACCAAGATTTCAGCTCGTGGCTCCTTTAATTGACAGCAGCAACTTGGCAGTAGAACAGCTGCCTTTCTTCTTTTCAATTGAGTGTGCTGCTGCAGATTCTTCCAAGTTGTGATCATCTGCTGCAATTCTTCGTTCCTCAGCAAGGATTTTTCCACTTGCTCCATCTCTGATCGACCTTCCAGCAGCTTGATTTCTAGCAGCTTCCATTTCAGTCCAGAATGATGCTTTTTTGTGCAATTTGGCCCTCATTTGGTTGATTTTCTACATTGGCCCCTTGATTATCCTGAAATACAAAATCAACCCAAAAGTAAACTAATTCTAATTAATTGACACCTGATACAAAGTAAAAATGAGTAGAAAATGCATGCTAAAAGTGTATATATTTTACTGTTATCATCAGAGAAATGGGGAATGATGTGCTCAAAGTCATTATTTATTTATAAATCAAACAGCTAATCGTCATTTTTATTATAACTATAGAGCCGGTCTTTTTTTGCAGTTGCCAAAAGAATGCAGGATCAACACTTTATTTCCAATGGCATGGCATCCTAGATACAACAGCCTTGTGACCGTCTTTATTTGCACGAATGATGAAGTCCTCCAACAGGTCCCTGATACAAAATAAACACTGAAAGATGAGCTTTTGGGCTCTCAAGGTTCAACAGGTTGCAGCTTTGTTGTTATCTTGTGGCTAAGGCGGGGTAATGTATGATCTCATATTGCAAAATCATGATTCTGAAAAGACAAGTACCATCTCGTCTCCTTCCTCCTCTTCATATTCTTTCTTCTCATGTACTTCATCGCCATACATTACAAAATAATCTGTCATGACCCACGGAATTCGTGGGAAAATTGTGGGTAATTATCCACGATATATCCACGAAACACGCATTTTGCGTTGACCAAGATGGGATCCATCAAAAAATTCGATTTCCCCGCGTGTTTCCCATGGATTACCCACAAATTTACCCACAACATAAAATTTTGTTGGTAATCTGTGGGTAATGATTTCTTGCGAGAAAATTCCCCACATATTACTCACGAAATTGTTCGTAATAATCAAACACGACTTCTTCGTTATGGGCAATCAGTCGGTAATTTTACTTACCTACGAAATAGTTTGTGATTAAAGTGATTGTGGGAAATGCGTGGGTAAGTCGTAGTAAGACCTAATCAAATTTTCTAAAATTTGATTAAGTGTTAAGAACGGTGGTCTTTAAAGACCACGGTGGTTTTAGTTACCCAGAAAATTGTGGTGAGTAAATCCTGGGCATTTCGTGGATAAATTACAATTACTATTTTTGATTGATTTTCCTTTAAAAAAAAATAAATGTGATCTTTAAAACAACAAAAATAAGTAAAGGTAGTTTTTAAAGACCACAGTGGTCTTCAAAGACCACAATGGTTTTAAGTAACCACGAAATTTTTGTGGGTAGTCGTGAGCAAGTTGTGGGTAAATTACAGTTAATATTTTTGATTGATTTTTTCTATTAATAATAGATAGAAGTGGTCTTTAAAGACTATGATGGTTTTAATTACCGACGACCATTTGTTGGGTAATACGTTGGTAAGTCGTGGGTAAATTGAAATTGTTATTTTTTATTGATTTTTTTCTATTAAAAATAAATATAGGTAGTATTTAAAGACCACGGTAGTTTTAATTACCCACGACCATTTGGTGGGTAATACGTGGGTAAGTCGTGGGTATATTGTAATTGTTATTTTTGATTGATTTTTTTCAATTAAAGTTAAATATAGGTGGTCTTTAAAGACTACGGTGGTTTTAATTACCACGACCATTTAGTGGGTATACGTGGATAAGTCGTGGGTAAATTGAAATTATTGTTTTTGATTGATTTTTTTCTATTAAAAATAAATATAGGTGGTCTTTAGAGACCACGGTGGTTTTAATTACCCACGGCCATTTGGTGGGTAATACGTGAGTAAGTCGTGGGTAATTGAAATTGTTATTTTTTATTGATTTTTTTCTATTAAATATAAATATAGGTAGCCTTTAGAGACCATGGTGGTTTTAATTACCCACGGCCAATTGGTGGGTAATACGTGAGTAAGTCGTGGGTAATTGAAATTGTTATTTTTTATTGATTTTTTTCTATTAAATATAAATATAGGTAGTCTTTAAAGACCACGGTGGTCTTAATTACCCACGACCATTTGGTGGGTAATACGTGGGTAAGACATGGGTAAATTGAAATTGTTATTTTTTTTATCGATTTTCTTCTATTAAAAATAAATATAGGTGGTCTTTAAAGACCACGATGGTTTTAATTACCCACGACCATTAAGTGGGTAATACGTGGGTAAGTCGTGGGTAAATTGAAATTGTTATTTTTTATTGATATTTTTCTAATGAGAATAAATATAGATAGGGTGGTTTTAATTACCTACGACCATTTGATGGGTAATACGTGGGTATTTCGAGGGTAAATTTAAATTGTTATGTTATATTAATTTTTTTCTATTAAAAATAAATATACGTGGTCTTTAAAGACCACGGTGGTTTTAATTACCCACGACTATTTGGTGGGTAATACGTGGGTAAATTTAAATTGTTATTTTTTATTGATTTTTTTATTAAATAAATAAAATATATTTATATAATTATGAATGGGTATTAAAATATGAAGTTTTAGGTAATTAACTAATATATAATAGACTTTGAATCTAATATTTAATCAAATGATATTCAATAATGTGTATCTAATAGATAGACGGTGCTGTATATATATATATATATATATATATATATATCATTTAGTACTAAAGAAACAATTATCCTATGTATATTTAGGTACATTTGTTATAAATATAGTATGTTTGTACTTTTAATTGCATATGTGGTTATCCATATATATATATATATTATATACTGTGTTAATTACATTATGTAAACAACTGTGAAATTTATTTAGTCTTACAGAATCATTAAATATTAATAATGATTCATTCCAAGTGAATAACTGATCGACGATAACAATAATAATATAGTATTATTACTTTTAAGTTATCAAATAATGTATAATGTCTGCGACATTTGCGATTTGATAAGTACTTGTTAATTATATGCTATTAATTTATAATTAATAGTAAAGTTCACTAATAACATCAATTTTTTGAAATAATTTTCATTTTCATGCTAATTTATACTAAAGTGAAACGTCAATTTGGGACGGATTTCGTATGCTTGTGGATATATCATACTATTTGAGTTAAAATTAAAATACAGAAATTATTTATTAAAGGTATAAATGAAAAAAATTTCATTACCACATAGTTTAAATAAGAAAAGAAATTGTAGGGTGGCAGTTTATAAATATTAGGGTGGCTAGTTTGTAATTATTATATGGTCAATATAACATTTAGTCATTTTTTATGTGTGCAAAAAGAAAAAGTCAAAACTAGAAATATTGACTACATAAGGCGTAAAAAAACGGGGGAAAAGTCCCGCTGAAACGAAAAAATTTCGGCGCTTTTGGCTAAAAATCCCCGCTTTTGGCTGTACCCCCAAGTCTGTCTAACACTTAGCCATTTTTCCCAAAAACTTCTCTAAAGTTAAAAAAAGAAAACCAAACTTTAACACTTCAGCCAAAAACATCCCCGTCACTTCCTCATCTCTACCGCCTCTACTTTATTCTCCTTCATCTCCATGGACAGATCGAAGCCAAGCGTTCATGCTTCTTGAAAACTCAGAAGCGTATGGTTGGCTTGTTACAGATCTATGGTTATTAGTTCTTGTGTAGTTAATCCGATTTTGTTTCGGGATTTAGATTTTATTTTAATCCTATTTGGGTTTTCCTTTTCGGTTGTAAATGCTTCGATTGAAGCCTGATGATTCCTTTCTTCTCCCCAAAGATTATGTACTCCAATCGACGGTGGCTCACCAATTCACCATTTTTAGCTTAAAATTCCAAAATCGCAATTTAATGTTTCGGTGACTTTCGAGTTCTTCAAGCACAATTAGCTGTTGGAGTTATAAAAACTCGCAGAAGCCCAGATTCTTAGTGTAGATGTTGTTGCTGTTGCTATTGGGGTTGCTGCTACCCCCTAATCCCGGGTTTTAGGAAATGGATGAAGCTTCCCCTCCATCGAAAGCCTTGGCGTTCGTCTCGATTTTGTCTACATCCCAGTAAGTCCCTGTTTCCGATTCATTCAATTAACTACCATCTTAATCATTTGCATCTCTTTTTTTTTTTGGTCTAACTTAATTTGACGCGTTGATGATATGCAGGTTGCCATGAAATGCAAAGACAAGATGCACGAGGTTGTTGAGAATCGCAGCAACTTCTGCGATTTAGGGACCTCCTAAAAACAGCCGAGGGGTAAGATTACTTCACAATTAAATTATAATTTCTGCTTAGAAGAGTTTGAAGTTAGTTTGGAAATCCTGGAAACTATAAACTATAGTTAAATCTTATACTCCTTTGCTGTGTATTGTTTTTGTGTTGGGCGTATTGATTGTCTTTCTCTGTTTCTGTGGATTATGGCAGGTAAGGAAGAAATAAAATGGAATTAGTTAATTAATTAAAGCATGTGGAGTGATGCTGTTGTTGATGGTTACATGTAAGTTTGTTTTGCCTCTAATTTAAGTTGGGAAAGAGTGTGCTATAGCTAAATCATATGCTCTTTTGTTGCATAGTGTTTTAGGTTGCTAGAGACTCCATAATGGAGTTGTATGGAGTTTACAACTGATTTATTTATATTTTGGAAACATGAGTTTTAGTTGGAAAATAGAACATGTAAAAGCAATCTTTAAATTCAGATTTGATTAGGTATCTTGAAACATCCAATGATGTTGTTCTATGGTTCTCATTTGCAAATTTTTGTTACCTAGTTTTAGTTTAGTTTGATACCCTTTTTACGAATTTCAAAATGGAGTTACGGAGTGTGTAAAACTTAAGTTTGAACAGGACGTCTCCATTTCTGAAATCTGAAACTTTTCGTCAGGATCTGCGGTTTTAAAGGACTTGTTTCTCCTATTCTTTTAATCCTTTTCCAAAATTTCTTTCTATGGTTCTCTTCCTTGTTTTCCCTAGTCTAACATGGCTTTTACTGATTGTTAAACGGATTTATAGTTTGTCCAAAACGTTGATTCGAATATGATATAAAATCTGAAGCCGTGGCGTCCGTCTCAATTTCGTCTAGATCCCAGTAAGTCTGTGTATTCAGATCTCTTTCTAATTTATTGATTTTTTAATTGAATTTTAAAAAGCTAGTTATTATCTACCTTTATTAGAAATCTTATCACTTGAGGGGTTAATTGTGTATACGAACAACTTAAAATGGTGTGTATTTTTGTCATTAAGCTAAGTGTGTGTAAATTTTGTTTGAATGCTAAGTGTGTAAATTCTTTCATCCTCTTCCCTATACTCTCAACAGACCGCTACTTTGCTCACTGGTGTTTCCCATTCTTCTCCTTCACTCCCAGTCTTCCCAAGGTATTATCGACTTCTATCATTTTTTTTTTATCTTATTTATGCTTTTGTTCTGGGATTTTATGCTGCCACTTGGAGTTCTCAAATGCAGAAAGTATTTGGAATTGTAGTTGTTTTGCCGGTGGGATTTTGGTCATGTGAACGTTCTGGTTTTGTTCAGCAACATAGTAGCTAAATTCTATCAATTTAGCCTTTTTTTTTTTCTCTTTTTGGTTTTGATTTTGGGTGGGTTTCTCTGCTACTATTCCACTTAATCAGTTGTATGCAGTGAGTTTCTCCAAAGGTTTTGTAAAACTCATGTGCAACTGGTACCCCCTTTTCTGTAGCATAGGATGAACTATACTTCAGCTTAAGCTTCGGAAGGGGCAATTTTAACCCATTACTGTTCTGAAATCGTTTGATAGTTTGTGTTTTGTTTTGTTTGCTAGTGTTTTAGGAGGAGGAACAAATTTTCTTTTTCAAACAGAAATTTATTTCAAAATGCTGTATGTCTTAGAGATTTCATGTCACAAACAGAAATTCATTTCAAAATGCTGTATGTCTTAGAGCTTTCATGTCACCGCAAGGGAATATGCTTGCAAGGGAGTACTATGCTGATATTAAGAGGAAAAATAACCCTATTATTCTGTGTTGTTGTATTTTTGGGTGCTGATATTTAAGTTATGGACCTCATTAAAACTTACTTGCTTAAAAACTCTGGACTGTTGCTGCTTTGTGATGTGTAGACATGCGAGTGTGGTTTGCAGCAAGGGCAAGAAAAACATTATGTGTAGACTTGGTTCTTGGTTTGCCCAGTTATTTATCTACCGTTTTCAGAAATCTTATTTTTTGAGGATTTGATGTGGTATTATTGTCTTTGTTTCTTAGTCAATTGTGTATGCGGACAACTTAAATTGATGTGTTTATGCGTGAAGCTGATGATGATGGAGGGTTTTTGCAGGCAAAATGGTATACCCACTCCCAGATTTTGAAACTGATGAGTCTCCCCAAGGGTCGAAAGGTACGGAAAGTGATCCAAATTCAAATGATTATGATTCTGAGGGAAGTTCAATGGAGGGATGATGATGATCATAGTCTTACTTGATGCTGTCCAAATGTTATTATTAGGTTACTTTGCTTATATGAACTTTGCTTAGTATGGTTGGTTTAGAATCAACCTAAGTAGTGACTTATATGAATTTGTTTAGTTTGGTTTCGTTTCATTAATGTGTCACTTGCGGTTCTATTGTAGGATGATGAATTTTAATACATTAATATGGTATTTGTTTATACTTTTAATAATTGTATTGTGCTACACAGGGATATCAGAAAAAAATATTGCATAATTTTAAATATATTTAAAAAATATTATCCACGAAAAATCTGTGGGCATAAATGTTTTAGAAAAAAACAAATTATATTTTCTCCCACAGAAAGAATTATGGGTAAAAAAATTAAAAAATAAAATAAATACATTTTTCCCACGGAAAGGGTCGTGGGTAAAAATATATACGCACATAATTAATTATTTTTTCCCACCACCAATTGCGGGTAAAAGTATTTACGAAACTATTTATTTAATATTTTTCAGACCGATTTATTCACGGAAAGTCGTGATAAAAGTATTTGTTAAAATTATTAATTAATTATTTTTTTCACCGATTATGCACGAAAAGTGGTGGATAATTCTGTTTCAAAAACCATTTTCCCACGAAGTACACACAAAAATTGTTGAACTCTCAATTTTTGTGAGAGAATTTACCCACGGAACGTTGACTGTTCGTGGGAGAGTGATTACCTACGGCGATTCTCCCACCAACTGATTTTTGTGGGCAAGTCGTGGGAAAATCAATTCACCCACGACCACGTAGGCATTTTACCCACGAAATTAGGTCGTGGGTAATGAGAGGTTTTTTTTTTTAGTAATATTTAATTTGAGTCTTGGAAACAAAAGAAATAAAGACAGTGAATGGATCCATGTGACAAAAATGAGTAGAAACTTTCATTACCTCTGAGTCATTACCAATTCTATTGTCTAGTTAAGTATTCCAAAATTCATTCTCTTGTTTATTTATATGATTAGAATTATCCCCGTGCGTTGTGCGGATTGTGTTACATGTAGCGGGTAAAATTATAAAATTATGATCACATGTAAGCCGATTGTTATTGTCATAATATTACAAAGTTTGTGTCGAGTTTTATGATATAGTAATTCTTGTTCGTATTTTGAAAGATAAAATATTAGTATGACTCATTCGTAGTAAAATTTAAGAAGTAATTGACAAAGTTTGTGTCGAGTTTTATTTGTAAATTTTTAGAAATAAATTTAGTAAACTCAAAATGAAAGTTTTACTGAACTCAAAAGGAAAAAGGAAATGTAAAGATATATAATGTTTTATACAACATCTCTTTAGTAATATTTGTTGGTTAGATTTTCCTGAAAAATATAACATTTTTTACATACTTGATGGTTTTTCATCCACTAAAATAAATTTTATGATTTCTTTTTTAAATTCCACCACAGTGAACTCTGCTAAAAAATGTGTGAAAAATTATTTTTAACAATCAATAAAAAGGATAAAAATAATTAGCAATGGAAAAGATGGGTTTTTCATTATTTATTAAGTCGATAATCAAATATATATGGAACATAATAAAGATTGATCAAATGAATGGGTGATAATGATATTGAAATAACCAATTTACAAAAAATGTTTAACATTTTAATGAAATGGGATCTCTGGCTTTAAAACTTGTTAAAAAAAAAAAACTCTGAACTTGACATGTACAATGAAGGCTCTGATTTATCTAATTGAGCGACATATATCGATTAAAAACTCTCTTTTAATATATAGTATAGATTCAATCAGTTTTCATAGACGGGGAATGAGAACATAATAATGTTGGAGAAGACGATACCAACAATATTGCTGGAAACTAACCAGATTCCAAATATACATTGACATATGGTCATGATTTTTTGCCTTTTGTTTTTCCCATATTTCATGAAGATTAATGATGTTGAAGTCAAATTCATATACTTTAACATTATCAGACCAGCTGAAATTGCTTTGGTAGCAGCCAAGTGACTAAAGCCAGTAGACTTAAAAAAAATAAATAACAGGTTGATATCCCTCAAGTACATTTCTCAATTTCAATAAATCTTATCAATTTCCATTGTTTTCAGCCTGTCTTCTCCCCTTTTAAGAGTGCAATTCATTGCAAGGTTGAGAAAAGTGCGCAATTGCTTTTCATTTTTCTGCTTTTCATGATTCTCCCAAATGTTAGACTCCATATTGTTGCTAAACTGGTCCTCCCTATAGATGTGCTACTCAGCACTCCTGTATAATTCTTATTTTGGTTCTTAATCTAGTTGCTCAAAACTGGGATTTGTTGACTTGCCGTTTGATAAATTTAGGAGAAATGTATCTTTAAACTTTGGATCTCGCCTACAAGCAATAGCCTTTTTACAACATCCTATGAAATGAAGAGCTTAGCAAAATGAAATGCATTTTACGACTTCCAAGGAAATGAAGAACCAAATAATAATGCATTTTGTTCTTAATCCAGGCGACCTTTGGACGCATCTGATATGCCAGCAGAGAGTTTAAGGAGAGCGGCATCAACCAGTGGGGATATCTACAGTTTTGGTATCTTAATATCAGAGATAAACACCTACAAGAGGTAAACTGACAACAAATTTCAAGATGGCCACAATGTTCACAACTTTGCCAGGATGGAACTGCCCAACCATGTTATGAATGCTGCGAATATAGCAACTCTAGATTATGAATGCATTTTGAGCTACAGATAATTGATTAGACTGATAAGAATTTTCATACCAGAGAAGAGAGATGATAAATTATTGAAATGTTGCCTAAAAAACAATGCCAAAAATAGTAGTCATGCTCCATGGGAACACCTGGAGACAGACAAGAAACAAAAACTGCTTTTCAATACATAAAGTCCATCGACATCATTCTTTCATTGTAGCTCTCTAATAGCTAGCTATTCAGCTCCTGAACAATTTAAATTTTTAGTCAATAGTTGGAGATAAAGTTGACATATTGGGACAAATCACTCGTGTGAGAGTCGATTTCAGTAAAAATATTTTGGATCACAATGTGCAACAACTGACTCGTGGCTTAAGTTGGTTTGTGTTGATAAGATCTTGTCTATTTTGCTGTTGCAGCTTTAATTGGTGATATTTTCTATGCACTTCAAAGAATCACACTAGAAGTGTTAATCCCAGTGAGGTGATTCATTCCCTAGAAGTGTTAACCCTAGAATACACTTATGTGTCTCCAACCTTTTGAGTTTTGATCCAAGGAATGAAGAGAAAGACAAAATCACAGGGCTGCTTGGTGAAAAGACCATGAAAGAAATGATCATACGGGAATGACTGATGATAAACAAAGCTTCTTTCTTGTCTAGCATACAATGCATACACTTAAGACACTCTCAAATCTGTCTTGACATTCTCAAAATACTTATGGTTTAATATATAATCTTTTAATAGTTCTTTGCTAAAGCTATAAGTAGGAACATTAGAAGATTGGGAAGCGCCATCTCTTTAACAAGTAATGAGCCTAATCATTCCTCGATCCTATGGGTCACCAATGCTTTATAATCAAGCAAGTGATTCCCAAATAACTTGTGAGCTTACTACACATCATAATCATGATTATAGATAGCTACTGAAACAATTCTATTTAAGAATGATTTGACAAGTAACTTTTCTATTGTGGGATTGATTGAAATTGTGCTTATGTAGATATATAAATGTTAAGACTTGACTCTAATGAGTGTCGTGGAGAAATGAATGTGCAGATAAATTTGCTAAACTCTGAAGAAATGAAAAACATGCAAAATGAGGTGGTATATAACTTTCTTATATACTTAGTATATCCAATGATCTACAAGCTTTAAGCGGTACTTGAATAAAGTACCTCAGATCATGATCGCTCAGCAGCGGTCACAATAGAACTTCTATTGGTCACTGAATATCACAATGAGCAAATCATATTTGCATACTCATCATGATTGTGCACAAAAAAAAAAAAATTCTAGAGAAGCCAAAGGATGTACTAAAGTTGGCCCAAGTTCATGCTCTAGAGAGATTTTGCTCGCTTGGCTATTGACATCCATTAAACATAATTTTCCATCTCATGGAGCTCCTTAGAAATTTGACCATATTAGGCCTTTTTAGAGTATATTCATTGCAACGTTCAAAAAATTGACAATTACTTTTCATACTTCTCCTTATTCTCCCAAATGTCAGAATCTAGAATATTGTTAAAGTACTAATCCTTATGTTCAATATGTTATTCAACATAACCAATAATTGAAATGGATCTCTGGTCCTTATGATCCTTCTAATCTTTCAATTTTAGAATATTCTTGAAATAACTCTTATGAGAAGAAGCTGCATATCACGAATAGGTTCATGAAAAACGTTAGTGTTGTCATCTTCATTGTTCAATCTATTAACCAAAATCAATTGATTTTCAGAAATACTTGTTACATATATCCTCCATCTCTTATTGGAGTTCTTTCAGTGAAGTTGCTTATTGCAGTGAAATAGTAGATGAGACTGTTGTAATTTCCACAGAAAAAAGAGTTCTTCCATCAAACAAATGTCAATATTCTCTAGGAGGAAGAGTGGTAATGCTATCTTTTCAAATATCTTCAACAGTGATCCAAGTCCAACCGGAGAAATGCATGTAACTGAAGAGATAGTTGCTATACAGTAAGCGGTTTCAATTCTTTTAATTACGGAAAAAATTTTCATAACAATCAACTATCACAGTTGTAATTCACAATATCATACTAGAAAATATCGAGTAATATCAATTTTTTAATTAATTGTATCAGTTGAAGTGTTATTTTAGATTGATCTTAATTTTTTTTAATCCTAAAATATCCACAAGTATCTATAATCACTTCGTGTTTAATGGAATTTTCACCATTAATGGAGCTCTCTAATGTGGATTGGTTTTTAGTTATCATTGTAAATGGAATCTAAACATTATCTACATTTTAAATCGATTAAGTTCATGTTTGGCAGTTTAAAAAAGAAAAAGAATAGAGACAATTAAAAACACAAAGTGTTTTATTTGCTTTATAGTAAAGACACCTTTGTTGAACACAAGAAATACTTCTTTTCTTAAGTAAAAGAGAGACAATGTAATTCAACTCCTCTATTTATAACTCTTCCTAAAATCTTTTGGGGTATTCTAAAAACATACATGTAACTATATTTGTTTTCTTTGTGAACTAATGTGACTCTTACTTTCATATACAGAGAATAATAAAGTCTTTGATATAGAAAGTTAATTATATTTATTGAATCTTTCATTTTAGTTTGATAAGACTGATTTTAAATCAGAAAGGAGTACCTTATAATTACGAATGCTATCTCTCAAGTACTAATACCTTTGCGACGACTCTTGACTTACGCTTAATCTTCATGTTCGAGTTGAAACTTGTTATCCTCTTGAATATAATTTTGGGTTAGAAAATTACTAGAACTTATCATCGACCACGAACTGATTGAAATAAAAAATTTTAAAAATAAATAAATAAAATGACACATGAACGCAGAACCTCGTCAACAAAAAGGTTCTGTAAACAAAGTTCTGCTTCTTCTACAGTAAATAACTACTTCTCTGAAAAATTATCATCTTATCGACATTAGCCAGAATACTTAGACACGGGAGTCTATAGCAATCATGGCGAGGGGATCGCTACGTAATGCAATTAATAAAAACATTCAGCACATAAACCTGAGAATTTCAAAAGAGCTTTATTTTGCAAAGACTAAATTCTGAAATTCAACCTCTACATTAGGTCAAAGGCACATTTCACTTCTCTATATTAATACTTGGTTGAAATAGTTCTCTACATTTTAGTTTGTAACTTTTTCTTATCCTTTTAGCACTATTCTAATCATTTGACCCTATTCAGGATTAAGATGATAGGGATTTTTTTGAAATAAAAACTATATATATTCCAAAAAATCTAATATCGAACAAAAAAAATTAAATTAATGAAAATTGAAATTAAAAAAGTTAGAAAATAATATTGAATGAATAAAATATATTTTTTTAAAAAATCACTTTTTTTAAAAACTTTTTCATCCATTTTTTTAAAAAACTTTGGTCTATCACTGTGGAATTCTCATCTTATATAGTATTTATCTCCATCAAATTCTGGATTTCTTTTAATGCCAAAAGATTGGTTACAAACTAAAAAGGGAGGACCGTTTCCCCCAAATATTAACGTAGAAGACCAAAACTTGTATTTGATGAAGACGAGCAATTTCAGAATTTAGACTTTTGCAAAAATAAAAAAGAAGCCGACATGAGATTTTCTGAGTTATACTATAAATGTGCCCAAAAAACTAGTATACAACTACTCTAAATGAATCTCTAAAATGAAAGAGTCAAAATCGACCTCATCCTTGTTACATTACTCATGAATACAACTTTTAGAAGATTTTATCATGGTCAATCAAGCATACCCGAGTGTAATGAGCTAGGGTGGTAGATATACTAATGGAATACATCTGTAAAGTTTTCCTACTGTAAAATCAATAGTATTTTCTTCCAAAAAAAATTCCTCAAAACCAAGTAGAGTTCTTACTTTTTAACACTCTGCTCCACTGCCTACAATCAATATATCTTCCGAATTCAGTTGTGTGCAAGGAAGTAGACAACCAGAGCAAGGATCTGTACTATGACAATTAGATACTATATGTACAAGTATTCCTAATCATGAGGGTCCATTTCCTCATCCGCTTTCGACGATGTGTTTTCATTTGTCTAATGAGTGTGGTGAAGAAATGAATGTGCATATTAATTTGCTAAACTCTGAAGAAATGAAAAACATGCAAAATGAGGTGATATTTAACTTTCTTATATACTTAGTATATCCAATGATCTATAAGCTTTAAGCGGTACTTGAACAAAGTACCTCAGATCATGATCGCTCAGCAGTGGTCACAGTAGAACTTCTATTGGTCACTGAAAATCAAAATGAGCAAATCATATTTATATACTCATCACGATTGTGCACAAAAAAATATTCTAGAGAAGACAAAGAATGTACTAAAGTTGCAACTGAGTTTATTCTCTAGAGTGATTTTGGTTGCTTGGCTATTGACATCCATTAAACATAATTCTCCATCTCATGGGGCTCCTTGAAATTTGACCATATTAGGCCTATCTTATCCACTTTTTAGAGTATACTTCATTGCAAGGTTCAGAAAAACTGCCAATTGCTTTTCATACTTCTCCTTTACATTCTCTCAAATGTCAGAATCTAGAATGTTGTTAAACTAATCCTTCTATTCAATATGTTATTCAATATAGCTCATAATTGAAACAGATCTCTGGTCCTTATGATCCTTTTCATCTTTCAATTTTACAATATATTGTTGAAATGACTCATATGAGAAAAAGCTGCAATATCACGAATAGGTTCACAAAAAATGCTAGTATTGCAATCTTCATTGTTCAATCTATTAACCAAAATCCTTTGATTTTTCAGAAACCCTTGTTACATATATCCTCCATTTATTATTGGAGTTCTTTCAATGAAGTTGCTTGTTGCAGTGACATAACAGATGAGAATTTTGAAATTTTCACAAAAAAAAAAGAGCTCTTCCATCAGAGAAATGTCAATATTCTCTAGGAGGAAGAGTGGTATTGCTATCTTTTCAAATATCTTCAACAGTGATCCAAGTCCAACCGGAGAAATGCATGTAACCGAATAGATAGTTGCTATATGCCAAAAGATTGGTTAGAGACTAAAAAAGGTAGGACCATTTCCCCTAAATGTTAATGTAGAAGACCAAAACTTGTATTTGATGAAGACGAATAATCTCAGAATTTAGAATTTTGCAAAAATAAAAGAAACCGACATGAGAGTTGTTGCGTTACATTGTTAATGTGGCCAAAGAACTAATATACAACTGCTATAAATGAATCTCTAAAATGAAAGAGTCAAAATCGACCTCATCCTGGTTACATTACTCATGAATACAACTTTTAGAAAATTTTATCGCGGTCAATCAAGCATACCCGAGTGTAATGAGCTAGGGTGACGGATATACTCATGGAATACGTGTAAAGTTTTCCTACTGTAAAATCAATAGTATTTTCTTCCAAAAAAAATTCCTCAAAATCAAGGAGAGTTCTTACTTTTTAACACTCCGCTCCACTGCCTACAATCAATGTATCTTTTGAATTCAGCTGTGTGCAAGGAAGTAGACAGCCAGAGCAAGGATCTGTACCATGACAATTAGATGCTATCTGTACAAGTATTCCTAATCATCAGGGTCCATTTCCTCATCCGCTTCCGACGATGTGTTTTCATTCGTCTGGTTGTATGCATTATCCAGCTGCCCCTCTGAATCCATCTCGTCATCTTGGGATTCAGTATCAGTCTCCTGGACATTAGTTTTTATTAGACTTTCTTTCATCCACTTGGGGCACTCATCTTGTCCTTCATATAGCGACTGCAAACTCTTATCCTTCCCATTCCGCTGAATGTCTGCAGTCTTGAAAGTTGTACATGAACATTCTGGGATTGGATGAGAAAGAAAAGATGTCTGCTTGGATACACGATTTTGAAGGTTTAGACCCTCAACTAGGCTTTTGTTGAGATGATCTTTGACAGCAAGAGTCCAGTTATGTGGTGGATAATAACGCCGGTCGCTAGTACTGTTCAAGAGTTCAGCAAGATGTTTCCTGAATAGACACAAGCCACACACATGTTATAAATAAAATTGATGAACAAAAGACAGGTTTTGCTGATGGTAGAGGTTACAAAAGAATGTAAGGTTTTGCTGATGGTAGCAAGACAACTTAGGGTATCCATATTCAATTGAGGAATACAAGTCCAAGTCTTAATGTTATCGACTTCCAACAACTAGTACACAGACTAATTTTGAGAGAGCGCACCCCCACCTCTCCCCCAACTTTCCCCTCACAAGACAAAGGGTACCAGTATGATTTACATGTCCAACACAATCCAAGAAAAACACAGATTCTTTACTTTGGATTCCATATAGATAAAAGGACTTATCATGCACACAAAGAAAGAGAGTTACATAGACAGGAGCCCCATAGGGTTATCTAATTAGATTAGGATAATTTCATCTGCTCACATATGATTCTTATAAATACAAGAATAGCTATATAATACTTTGACCTACGAAATTTCTTGGTGCACTAATGATTTGCTAAACAATTTACCCAAAAAATTTAAGCTCAAGTTTAATATTCATCATTTACATGACTCTTTTGATGTATACCTAAACAAATAAACAAACAACAGCAAGCCTTTATCCCAATATGTAGGGTCAGGGCTTATACCTTAAATACAGAAAAAACAACCTTTCCCCAAAATAAATAAATCAATCTGACACCTAGACACACCCATACTAAGTCCATGTAATGCTGAAACCAGGAAAAAGTTATTATACTGTAATACAATGAATACAGCCATAAAAAAGACACGGTAAATGTTTCACCAATATAAATAAACACTAGATGAATCAATTCAAGAAAAAAGTAGACCAAAAATAAAAGCCAGAGACCACACTTGAACAGCTTCACGCATTACCTATCAGGTCGAAATGTTCTGGAAGAAGCCATCTCATAAAGCCGGTGTCCCATGACCAAGCTAGAAAAATCAGGCCAATTACTACCATCATTGTCAAAACCAGGAAAAAAGGCATCAGCTTCCAAAGAAACGACATAATCAAGAGCATCCCATAACAACCGATGTGCCTGCTCTCTTATATGAGAAGGTGAAGGATTTGGTTCGGTATCATTTTCACCAACCCAGCCGTACCAACCTTCTTTCTCATGTCGATAAATTGGTCGATCAGGAGGTGGAGGAAGGGGCCTGGGACGAGGACCAGCCTTGTCCCATTCTTCTTTCTGTTGCTTAACACTCTTCACAGGTAAACTTTCTAGTGGATCTGGTGGAAGAGGAACTTCTGGGCCGACTAAATTTGCTAGCTCTTCTCTGCTGCACAAAGAAGTCCGGTCAACCACATTGGGAAACATGGCCCGCAGAGGAATCACCACTCTTTGACCACCGAAGGTTTCAGAACCAGCAAGAAAGATTCTGGTTCTAGGAGGATAACCCATTGTTCGAAGAAGAATTCCAACCTACAAAGTTTACAACGTAATCAATAACTTTACCATGCCTTTGTATACGGCTGATCCTACCAAAAACTAATGACAGCAAAAATAGTATCTGCTTCCTGTATATATCCCTGATTTTGCAAAATAGTAAGCCCAGCTATGGAAAGTTTCTTTCAGGATATAAATTAAGTTGGCAACCACAAAAGCAAGAACATATTAGTGCGCTCGTTACGTTTTTTCAGCATGTGCTTTTTGGTTGGGCATGTCGAAAGGTATATTGTTTAAACATAATGGAAACAAAAAAACCAAAAAGAAATGACAAAAAGGAAACAAAAACAAAGCCGCAATTCTTGCCTCAGTTGGCAAAATGTGCTACCCTCAAAAGTTCATGCAACCATATACCACATGCCCTAGGTTCAAACAAAAGAAAGAAACAAAAAGCCCACTAAAGAATGAAAATAAATGCTCGAGGGATGAACAAATTAAGACGTGTCTATAAATAGGAATCAAAAGGGACAAGGATGCATTCACTTTACAACAAGAAGAAGAAATATAGTAGGCTATTACTGGATGCAAATGTAGATAACTAGATACATAATATATGAAGTACTTTGGTGACTATCCAACCCCATCTCTACTGACTTCATCCATCCCATGGGTATTCCCATTGCACTGACAAAGTAGACACACTGTTTTCAAAAAAAAAAAAAGAAAAAGTAGACACTTCTAATTGGTAAAACATACTAAACTCAATTCTCACATAGCTTGGTATTCAGAAGCTACTTTATCTTCTAGAAGAAAATAAAACAGGAGGACAATTGGGAATCCTCAACATTACTGCTACACATGAGCTGGGCACAGAAAAAACTTCTTACTCATGGACAGAAGATTGGATTACCCTAACAAAATAAAAAGGAAAACGAAGCAGGTAAATACATTCATCAGTGAATCCTTCAGCCAGAAAAGCAAGAGCAATATTGATTAAAATCATAAATGCGAAGGCAAAACAGCAAAATGGAGAGAAGTCAAAAGACACTGAGCAAATAGAATCACCAAGCAATAACTGCATGTTACCTCTTCTGGCATAAGTGGGCATGAACCATTTCCTTTCCGAGCAAATGAGTCAACATCTAATTCTTCACTAATGATCCCTTGTTTGATCAACTGCTTTCGTCGATATTGTATTAATTCAGAATGAATATCCTGAAACAAGATAAAACAAAAAACTCATAAGGATGTAGCCCCTTAATTTCAATTAAACAGCATCATAATCCTTCTGAAACGAAACTTCCCCATGAAACATCCATGGATATTCTAAATAGTTTTCAAACAAGGAATAGAAACTTTTAACCATCATAACCCGATTGCCAGAATACCCATCAACAAATTCACACTAAAGCAATCAAATATCGTAGCATAGGAAACAACAAAGAAAAGAATTATAAGATACCTGAAAGAGTTCAGCACAACCATGATATGCCAGGGTATCTCTCCTCAGCCCAGGATGATAAGCAAGGTAAGGTTGGCCTGAAGCCCGTAACCTGCAAATAAAAACCGGTACGAGATGAAAAACCAAGAGTATCCATCTTTTTCCCAGTAGTATACACAGCAAGCATACATAATTCACAGGCATGTAAGACGGAACATGTAATGCCGACAGCTACAAACATAGAACAAACTGATAAGAATATAGATGAATTTTTCTACAAGCATAAAGAATCCATTGGCATGTAAGATTGAACATGTAATGATGAAAGCTACAAACATAAATATAGATAAATTTCAACACTTTCTAGAAAAGTATTTGCTAATTATTATAAAGCTATTTGCCCTTCTTAAATTCCAAATAAGATTCGAGGAGATGTAATAGACATACAAAACAAGAAACAATATGAACTATATCCTACAAAGTGTAACAGCTTGATATGATTCTTGTTTTGAGATCAGTATGCAACAATTGTTGGCACAAATTCAAACAAATGTCAAACTGAAGTTGGAGATGAATATGCATGAGGCCTGGTAGCTAAGGGGTGATACTCACTATAAAACAGCGGCAGCAAGCAATAGTAAAATGTTGGATTCGCCAGACAAATTTACTTGGAAAAAAGTCCCAGCAATCAAATCCAGAATCTTGTAATCCTTGGTACTTTTCTAACTAGTGCAACTACAAACCAAATCTTCTACTGGATAACTAGCTATAGTGAAAGCAGGTTTCTTACCTTTCCACCATCAGGCGCCCAAGTGTAATAATTTCAGAACGAAACTGCAGAGCATGAAAAGCAACACGGCATCTGAGCCTCTGAACTTCAACCAATCTTTGTGGAAGAATGGACTGCATAAAGTTGCCATTCGAACACAGTGGAACAGTTAGTTATACATTAAAACCCTAGTCCTTGAACTTGGAATACCAAAAAGAAACAAGAAACCAGATAAAACGGATATGAATTTAGGGACTTCATCATAAACACTCACATGGATTTATACATTTCACACTCCCAATTAAATTGCAAAACTATACTCAATACACGGGGGAGATCAAGGTACTGATACAAAAAGAATGACAAAAATGTTCCAATGCAAAACTAAAAGTAAACTTGAGTTCGTACTTTCTTTGGGTCAGTCTTGAAATCATTTGAAGTAAGAATTCCAGTTGGCTAAATGAGATGTTCATCTTATGCCCTTCCAGAACCATTCACAAACAAGAATCGATACACAAAGAGTGGCACAAATTGGACAAAGGAGAAAAGTAATTCACCGAACAAAATGTAACTAAATACACAAGCATTTCCTAAGTTTCTACAGGTTAAATACAATTTCAACAAGCAACAAGTGATTTCCGACCATGGCTAAACTTATAGAATAAAGCATAAAAAAATGTTAAAATGACTGATGTTCTCTAGAAACCAAAAGATATCTTCCTTCCTAGAAGTCCAAGTAAACTCAACTAGTATTAATTATGAATAATTACGGACCCCCAGAGCCAAGACGTAATTGCTGTTGGGCAGAAGTAGACCATCAGTTGACAGCTTAATGACATTGTTTTCAATTTCAACAGAGTTCCGTTCCAATTCTAAAATTAGCAAATCCTGCGCAAAGTTTGACAATTATGCTTCATTATCTATCAGTTCAATCCAAGAACTTCAAACACCTTTCTTCCAACCACATTAATATTGCTCAAGTGGGAGAAAATCTTCAATAGTATGTAGTTTATGAACTCATTTAAATCACATCAGGAGACAACAAACACTAGAAACAACAGTGAAAAAGGAAGTAATACAGAACCAGAATATTATCTTCTATACACACTAGCCCGTGGTACCTCTAGGCATCCTCCATCTGTTAGTATAAGCCCAACAACCTTGGATTCTTTCAACTTGGATAATACATTGGTCATGTAAAATTCAGGTGGAGCTGAATGTTGAGGCCTGAAGGTTGGAAACTTTTTCTGCTTTCTGGCCTCCGAGAGATTTGGGGGAAGCTGCTTTAAAATGATGACATCGTTTGCTAATGCTGATATGAACTGTTGTTCATTGTACATATATGAAAAGCTCTTGAACTGAAAACTGCAAGGCATGTATGAGATATTGTAAGCACATCTACAGCATTGGGGTAAGTACCCATATCATTGAACAATAAAAATCACCTGATTCCAGTGGATCGAATGCTTTCTTGAATTTCGGGAACAATAAGTGTAGCATTTAGAAGCCTTGCTACAGCTACGAGATCACAGATCTGCCACATTTCTCAGATTACAAACTTTGGAAATATTGAAAACCAGACAAAGAAAAATAATGGGGAAAAAAACCCTCAAACATAGAGGAAGACAAGAGCATACCGAAGTCCTAATCTTCTCAAAACCACCAAATATTTTTGCATAAATGAAACCATTGTTCTGCTTATTTGGATCTGAAACAAACAAGGAGGAAACAAATCAATACTCAACAGGAGGCAAATTTTAACAGTGTGCTATGGAAATCAATATCTATCAACTGAATGAATTGACAAGATTTGATGTAGGTTTCCACATTCAAATGGAAAACCTCTAAGCAGTGTTGCATTCAGTGCATTAAAGCTCTAATTTTATATACCTAAATGATGATGTTACCTTACCGACAAGAACCAGTATACTCTACTCAAATTACATAAATAAAACATTTGACATTCAGTATCAACAAACAAATGCAAGAACATTGATTTAAGTCAGCACTAATTTTCATTATCCGGCAGAATAGAAAACAGATTTTAGATTTGTTAGTCCAATAGAGATCCGCATTACTATTTGAATTAGGTACACACATTGAATAATTTAACTTAATCCTAAAGGAAAACTATGACGCACATTACCAGGAAAAGCGCTTCTTGGATTCGCATAGGGATGCAGTCCTTCCAATGCCTGCACCTTCCCCCACAACTTCTTGTTCACCGAACCCTATTCAAATTCCAGGAAAATCCATTCAATAACAAGCCAAACCCCAATGAAAAGCATTCAGTACAATTTCCTAAGATTACCTTACTCCCAGCGGCATAGCCCAAATCATCTGTGAAGGCAGTAATGGCATGATACTGTACTAAATTCGCGCTGGACTTTGCAAGAAACAAATGCACCATCAACGAAAAACACGACAACACGAGCACGCCCAATGCTGCCCATTTCATATTCGAAATCATTTCCTTCAAACTCACTCACTCCTCAAAGCCAATTACAAATCTACATAAAACCAAAAAGGAAATTCATACCGAAAACAATAAAAAAAAAACGCAGCTAAATTTGAAAATGTGTTAGGCAGGCAATATTTACCGGCGAACTTCGGGAGTAACGACGACGATGATGTCGATAACAGCACCGGAATCGATGCGCCGGCGAACAAAACCATTAATTTAGGGTTTAAGGAGCCACAAAACAGTAGAATTTGTAGTTCAGAGGGTGAATCACGGAACCCGAAGTTGGATCGGACGAACCAAAAAAATGGCGGACAACACGCAATCAACGTGAATCTGTGTATGACAATGTAGAGAAAGTTTGGGTTTGGTGTTCTAGAAAGTGGTATGAGTGTGTGAGTGTGTGTGAAGTGTGATGGAAGCGAAGAAGATCAAAGAAGAAGAAGAAGAAGACGAATAAAATATAGTGGCGGAAAGAGAGGCTGCCGGGACTGACGGCAGCTGCCAAGCGTTTTTCAGTCAATCTGACGCGGCGGAGGGATTTTAAAAGATTTTTCTTTTTTGAAACAAAAAGAATTTACAATTTTGTTTTTTTGTGGATAATCAGATTAGACTAGTAAGTACCGTTTTGGGTGGGACAAATTGGAAAATAAAATACAATATTGTATATAGAAGTATATTTTTTCTTCGAGGAGGAATATTTTAGAAGTATTCGATTAAAATGTTTTCAACTTTTCATTTGCCCAGTTTTTTAATTTTTAATTCATGGTTGACATATTCCAATAAATTACTTTATAAAATCTGACAATTAAATTTTCATTCATTTTGGAGTGCTTTGGAAACTGCTACAGATTTAAAAATCATTTAAACGACTTTTTCTTTAATCCCTCCCCAAGAATCATTCATCCAAACCATTTCAAGTTCTACCCTCCCCTCAAAATTCAGGCATATTATTATCTCAAAACTTTCACTTGCGGAAGGAAATACAGTAAATGTTTGAAATTATGTGCCTTCAAGACTTTTTTTTTTTTTTTGAAAAGTTCCTTAATTTATTAAAATTAGGAAGAGCTTACATGGTTTAGGCATGAGGTTAGAGAGGCCTTAGACATATATGAATATTTTCTATGATGAATTTATTCACTTTTTTAAAGTTAGAAACAGGGATCATTTGGGAAAGCGTTTTGATGTCTTTGAGAAGGCCACTAACATGGTAGGAAACCATTTCTCCTTTTTCCAGGGCATCAGCTATAATTTTGTTGTCAATTTACACGTTACATGAAGTTATTTCTTTGTTGATGATTGCTTGCAAGCCCATTAGACACGCCTTCGCTTCAGCCATAATCGGAGAAGATGAGTAGAAGGTTTGATATCCGTGGGCTACATATGTCCTGTATTTGTTATGATTTTTCAAGCTACAGCTCTCTTTTTCTGTGAATTTTGAAAAGCTCTATCAACTCTAACAATGTAGTCATGTTGGGATTGTGCCTCTGATTGTGTTTCACCCAATAGTTTGTAAATGATGTTCTTCATTTTGTGGCGAAGATCTCTTTTTCAATTTTTGATAGCAATTCTCCACACAATTGACAAAGGAGCGACACTCTTTTTCTGCCCACGGTTGAGTCTCTCGGGGGTGTTGGCTTTTACCATCCCATATTAGGCTGTTTCTGTCAAGTCAAATTGACCATATTATATAGAAAGATTTTCGAATTACCTCATTGTCGGGAGCTTAAATAAGCCACTCGTTCAACCAGTCACAAAAGCTTTCCATCAATCCCTTGTGTGAAATCAAAACCCAGAGAAGAGCATCTCTCATATAGATTGGGATCAATCATTGAAGAGGAAGCAAAAAACGATGAAAAGGGATCAAGAAATCAGGAAAGATCAAAGCAATAAATGCTAGGGTTCAAAGCTTGGAGAAAAAGCTTTTTAAAATTGGGGAAAAATATTGTATATAGTTTCTATGTTTTGTACATTTGCTCGCCTGAAATCTATCTATATATACACAATCTAATGAGTAATTATTTACACACTCTAAACTAACACACCTCAATCCAATGGTTGAGACACCTTAATTACAAGTCTCTAATAATCTATTTGACGGCTGGATTATTTACATCAAGTGTTGATCCCGGATTGATGACATGGAAGGAGATGATGTTTCCAGTAACATTCCCGCTGAGGACGATTACAGTTGGCAGCATCAAACAATTTGGTTGATTCGGGACCACATGCTGATGAAGGATCTTTCAGAAGCATCATGGAAGTACGAGCTGATGATGATGGCTTGGATCCTGTGCACGCAGCTGCAGGATTATTCTGCTACACATGTTGCTGCAAAGCTGAGAAGTCAACAGCAGAATCTTCTTGATTCTGTAACATCCCCCCTGCAAGATGAGCATGGTACAAACTCATCTTGGACAGGATGAAATGAAACTGTGGAACTCCAAGTGATTCAGTAAAGATACCTGCCAACTGCAAAGTAGTATAAAGGTGTTGTGGTAGAATGAAACCTTCCTTAAACTTGTCTCGAACCACATGGCAATCCACCTCCAAGTGCTTCAGGCGCTCATGGAAGACTGGATTAGCTGTAATATACAGTGCTACTTGGTTATCACACCAGAAGGGGATTGGTAATTGCAAAGACACTTTGAAATCTTGCAGCAAGTATGATATCCATTGTAATTCTCAAACAGTGGAAGCTATTGCCCTGTATTCTGCCTCTGCTGATAAGCAAGATATGGTGGATTGCTTCTTAGCCTTCCAAGATATAAGAGTATCTCCCAGAAATATGCAGAATCTAGTCACTGAATGCCTTGATGATCTACAACTGCCATAGTCTGCATCAGTATATGCAGTGAGGGAAAGTGTATTATTTCTGGAATAGAACAATCCTGTGGAAATACAATCACTGAGATAATTCAAAACATGCATTGTTGCCAACCAGTGTGATTCATGAGGAGAATGCACAAACTGACTCAATTGTTGTATTGAATAAGTCAGGTCTAGTCGACTAAAATTCAAGTAGAGCAACCTTCCTATAAGTCTTCTAAATTTCTCAGGATCATCAAGCAGTGGAGTGGAGTTTTTATCCAAGGATTCAAACCTGAGATCCCTAGGAAAAGGAGTGGAAGCAGGTGTACAATCCAGCATGGCCGCATCTCTAAGAAAATCAGTGCTATACTTTTGTTGTTGTATATACAAACCTTCTGTAGTATAGTTAAACTCCATTCATAAGAAATACTTGGCTTCTCCCAAATCCTTTATGGTAAAGGTCTGATCAAGGAAGTGTTTTACCTTCATCATTTCTGCATGATTATTCCCTGTGAGCAATATATCATCTACATATACCAGTAGAAACAACAAGCAACCTTCTTGATGAAGAATGAACAAATAATTATCATTATAAGACTGCTCAAATCTATATTGTTGGAGCTGTGAAGTAAACTCTTGATTCCACTGCCTGGATGCTTGCTTAAGGCCATACAATGACTTCTTTAACTTGCAAACTTGTCCTGGAACCACCTGAGTATATCCCTGAGGGGGAAGCATGTTAGACATCCTCATCTAGATTGCCATGTAGAAAGGCATTATTCACATCTATTTGATAGAATGGCCAAGACTTAGAAGCTCCAATTTCTAGCATCAACCTTACAGTGACAGATTTTGCTACTAAAGAGAAAACTTCAAAGAAATCCTTTCCTTCAACTTGATTATACCCCTTTGCCACCAACCCTGCCTTGTATTTATGCATAGTTCCATCTGATTTGTACTTGATCTTATAGACCCATTTAGAGCCAATGGCTTTCTTTCCCTCTGGTAATGTAGTAAGGTCCCAAGTTCCATTGTGTTCCAATGCTCTCAGTTCTTGCTCTATAGCATCAACCCACATGTGATCAGTCCTAGCCTGATTATATGTAACTAGTTCTTGAGTACTAGACAATTGTGCTAAGAATTGGTGATGTGTAAGAATACAGGTTGAACTGTTCTCAGGAGGTTGATGATTATGTGGTTTTCTAATATTTTTGGAAGTGTCAAAATCCTGTAAGTAAAATGGTGGATTTTTGACCCTGGTACTTCTTCTAGGAATGAAAGTGTCTGATGAAGAAATGTGATCAATTGGGCTAGTTAGAGGTGAAAAAACAGGAGAATTTGAGACAGAATTTTCTAAAGGAATTGACTCATTGGGTGAATCAGTGTTGTTATCAGATGACTGTAAAGGATCATCATCTGAAACATATGGTGTATGATACTGTAAATCTGGTTCTGGAATATGAAAGATTGGCTGTATGTATGCAGTTTCAGAATCACATATGGAAGGAAACACATCCTCATAAAAAAAAAACATCTCTGGAAAATATAGTTTTCTTAATGGTATGGCAATATACCTTATATCCTTTCTGATTAGAAGGGTATCCTAAAAAGATCCCTCTAAAAGACCTTGGATCTAGTTTATCTCTTTGAGGACTAGTGTTGACAGCAAAAGCTAGACAACCAAATACCCTTAAATGAATTAAATCAGGTGGCTTTCCATACAACATTTCATAAGGTGACTTCTAACTAAGAAGTTCACTTGGCAGTCTATTGATCAGATATGTAGCTATTAGAATCGATTCCCCCCAGAAGGATTTAGGTAAATTTGGATAGTATCAGTAAGGCTCTTGCTACTTGAAGAAGGTGTCTATGTTTTCTTTTAGCAACACCATTCTGCTGTGGGGTATATGAACAAGAGGTTTGGTGTATAATTCCTAATTTTGAGGTGAAAGTTGACAAAGATTGGTTCAAGAATTATGTCCTATTGTCAGTCCTTATTGTTCTGACATGAGTTCAAACTGATTTATGACTAGATTGATGAAGTGTTCAAACTGAGTTGAATGGTTTTTTTTGAAGAATATGAGTTAACTTCTGGCCAGAAAATAAGTCGCCAAAAAAGCCAATTTTATGTGAAGGAGGAATGCCTCGGCTCTAGGGTGTTGACGATTGAATCGACACTCAATATGCAAAGAAGTTCTTTTCCTTTTGTGTACCTTGGATGTAGATTGTTTTATGGACGGAAAAATGCCTCAATTTTCTAATTTCTCCTTGATAAAATTGATGCATAGCTTCAAAATTGGAAGAACAAAATGCTAAGCCAAGGTGGCCGGCTCTTAATAATCCGGCATGTTTTAGCAGCCATTCCGATTCATATATTTGCAGCTATCGAGCCTCCAAAATCGGTTATGGATGAGTTGGAAAAGAAATGTCAAAGATTCCTTTGGTGCGGTCCAAGCGAAGAATCAAGATGACATTGGAGATCATGGAGTCGTTTAACCTATCATGTTGATGAAAACGGTGTTGGTATCAGAAATTTCAGAATAATGATTGCTGCCCTTTCATCCAATCTTTGGTGGAAATTTAAGCAAAAGATGGGTCTATGGGCTAACTTCTTATCTTCCTTGTCTGATTCAGTAAAGAAAAAAACTTCATGGATGTGGATTAAGAAGATTGATATCATTGCAGCCAATATCTCTAAAATTCTAGTGCGCGGAGGTGATAGAAGTTTTTGGCACGATAATTGGTCAAGCTTGGGAGTTATTTAGGACATCCTGAATGAAGCACCCCAAATCCAGGCCTTATAACTCGAGATTTTTTTTCAGATTAAGGATGTCCTTTTGGTGGCTGCAGCTACACATCTCTCCAATGAGTCAATTGAAACCTTAAGGAGCCTCGAACTTCAATTTTCTGGTGTTGTGGATTTGATCATTTGGCAGCCCTCACCAACAGGATCCGTCTCCATTAAATCAGCCTATGAAGCATTGCGCCCTAGGCGGAATAAAGATGTAAGTCTCCTGAATTTTTGGCACAAACTTATTCCTCTCCGGATTTCCTTTTTCATGTGGAAACTAAGAAATATGTTGCTTCCTTTTGCGGAGGTACTTAATACTTTTGGCTTTGTTTCATTTCCAACGAGGTGTTATGGATGTGGAAATAATGAAGAATTTGTTAACCATCTTTTCATAAGCTGCCCAAAGGTGTGCCGCATTTGGAAATTGTTTGCAAATGTCTTGAATTCTTCTGTCCAGGCTGAACATACTTTGTGCCATTTCTTAAATGCTTGGTGGTCGCAAAGGTCTTACACTACAGCCAGGAAGGTTTTGTTTGAATTGATCCCAACCTTTGTTGTTTGGGAAGTTTGGAAGGCTAGAAACAAAGCAATCTTTGATAATGTTTGTACTCCGCACCAAGTAATAGCGAAAGCTGTCATACAAGACTTGGAGAATGTTTTCTCTATCAACAAGGTTGAAGTTTGAAATAATGCTGAAAAATCTTTCATGGAGAATATCTTTTCGTCTATCCATTTCAAGCTGAAGCGTAGAACACTCAAATGGATTGCTTGGAAGCTTCCTGATTTTAATAAATTTGTTTTAAATTGTGATGGTTCTTCGATTGATAGGGGTTCTGATTCCGGGAATGGTTTCTTAATACGGGCTCATCTTGGAAAACATCTTTATGGAGAAGCTGGCTATCTTGGCAATGGAAATAGTTTGATGGCTGAGGTTATGGGACTCGTAAGTGTGAATCTTTGGACTTCAGCTTGTGGAAATTCAAATGGACAATAAAGCTCTTGCGGATCTTCTAAATTCAGAAAATGCTCCACCTTGGAAATATTTTTTTGAGCTTAAAGAGCTCAAGGAAATCAAACTCCGAATGGGCTACATTGTTACTCATATCTATAGAGAAGCTAATGCTGTTGCAGACAGTCTAGCGATGTTGGCTTCACTAGGACTTTCTGAAACTTTTTTGGATTTTCACAGTTTACCTAGTACTTCGAAGGGGCTTTTGATCTTGGATCAACAATCCTTTCCATATGTACGTTTCAGATAGGTATAACACATTAGTCCTTGTACTGTAAACCTCCATTTTTGTACATGGTAAGTCTTATGCACTATCATACTTTTTATTGCTATATCAATAAAAATAGGGAGGGATGAGACTAGGGAACTGGATAGTATATATGTCGATCCGTTGGATAGACCCCTTAGGTGCATTGTACTATCTAGCATTGGCTGACTCAAAACATATCTTTTGGGTAGACCACTTGAGTTTTTTTGAGTCAGTTGGAACCTGAATATCGTCCTAACCTTTTCTTTTGTTTTTTGTTTTTTTTGCTTTAAAAAAAAGTAGACACTTCTGATTGTGTTTAAAGAGAAAAACCCAAGTACAACCAGGGCTGCTAGTTAATCGGGTCAACTCGACCAAATGCCCGACCCGAACTTCATTTGGCTTAATTGGGTCGAGTAATCGGTTTAATTGGGGGAATTTTGGCTCCACCTGACCAACCGAAATACTTATACGGTTCAGTTACAGTTGACGCAAAATCTATTCGGGGACCGTCCGATAAACCGATTAATTGATTTTATATTTTATTATTATATTAGATTAAAGTAAATTTTAGGGTTTGACCCTTTTCCTCTCTTTCTTTTTGCTGCAGCCACCCTTCTTCCTCTCCCCCATATTCTTCCTCTCCCCATTCTTTTCGTTTCTGCTCTCCTCCATCCTTCTCCATCGCTCATCTTCTTTTTTTTTCCTCCTCTGGTCTTCTCCTCCTAATTCTTCTCCATCTTTGACCCTCTTTTTTTCCTTCCCCTTCTTCTCCATTAATGCGACTCTGTCCCAACAAAACTTTCTAATAAATTGAAACAAATAATAATTCTCCACCATAGACAACTTCATCTCCAATTCTTCGGCTGCCCTCTGCCAACCAAAGGTTGTTTCAGGGCCAACCTTCACCTTTCTTCACTCTCTCGATCTCCCCCCTCCTCCTTCTTTGTTTAATTTAAATTAGATCTAAATTTTTGGAGGCTTGGAAAGCTTGGAATTGCCCTTTTTGTTGTGGATTTTTAATCTTCAGGCATGAGGTTTCAAATTTTTGAATTTCAGATTTGTAATTTGGTGTGTTTTGTTGTTGAATCGACATGGATTGTTTGTGAATCTGTTGAATCTCCGATTTTTTTTCTCTGAATCAACACGGGAATGTTTTCTTGCTGAATCACATAATATTGAATTTTGACTGCTATAAGACCCAAGGATTCAGAGAAAATGGTTCACTGTCTTATTTGTGTGGTTAATTTTGGTTATTCAAAAACCAAACCAACTAACCCGAACTCTTAATCGAGCGGTGCAGTTCGGTTTGGTTTATTTTTTAGTTCGATTTCAATCGGGTCTCGTGCGCTGAAAAACCGAATAAACCGAATCGAATTCACCCGAACCGTACTGAACTGACCGAATTAGCACCCCTAAGTACAACGGCTAAAATCATCAACAATAGTCAATAAGTAATGACACCCTCCCATGGTTGTCTGTTTATAAGGTCCCCAAATATCCATAAGCAACAAATCAAACACTTTATTACTGTGAATTTTACTTTGAGGAAATACAAGTCTTGTCTGTTTTGCTAAGGGACAAACTTCACATTTGTGAGATAAGGAATCACTCTTATTACATTGAGCTAACTGTTTCATAACATTTTCAGAAAGATGTCCTAATCTGATATGCTGAAAAGGCTTGTGATTGATCTTTTGATGAACTAAGATTGATGACTGGATTTCTGACATGGATCATATAGGCTGCAAACTGAGTTTGTGACTGCTGAATGGCTTCTGAAGTGAAAGAATATTGATCAAGGATGTATAGTTCTTTGATGACTCTTCCTGTTGCAAGAACCTTGTTGGTTTCAAGGTCCTGAGCAGACAACAGTCAGCAAAGAATTTAAAATACAGATGATTAACTTTGGCTAGTTGTCTAACTGACAGAAGATTATATTTGAAATTTGGTAGATGCAAACAAGTATGAAGTGTGACTGTTTTGGAAAGGGTAACATCACCAATGTGTGAAACAGTGTTTATGCTACCATCTAGAAGCCAAGCTGGAGTAAAAATGTCTACGGATTTTAGATTATGCATGAGAGCAAGAATAATGCACATATGTCTAGCTGCACCACTATCAGATACCCAAGAACTAGGTTGTATACAATCAGGAGACAAATCATTTGAGTTTAGTTAATGTGGAGCTACCTGCAAATGCATCAAAATGTGAAAAGTTGACTCCTGATGTTCCACCATGTCCTTCTGCTGGTGCCTTTCCCTTAAGCATTCTGTCAACCTCTCTTTGCACTGCATTTGTGATCACCATTTGCAAGTCCCCTAATTCTCCTTGATGATCTTGTGGCATATCCAGTGGAGTGTTTCCAATTAACACCATGTTTGCTGAATTCCCTGCTTGAGGCAAGTTGCATGATCCTGATTTCAACTGCAATTTCTTCATATATTCATCCCACCATTTCGATATTCCATTTAGCTCGAAACACTCTTCTTTTGTAAGCTTGTACTTATGACAATGAGTACAGTAGAGATTGCCCTTGTCCCTCTTTTGATAACCGGTGTTCCTTGATAATCCTTACTGACTTACTGTATTTTTCTTCCACTTAGGTACTCTGGCAATCAATACTGAATTCTCTGGAGTTAAGGACATGCTAACAGTCACTTGTCTATGCTTCTCAGTAGTAAGAATCATGTTATAGATATGATTCACTAGAGGCAATGGATCCATAAACAACATTTTGCTCCTGTCTCGTTCATATACATCATTTAACCCCATAAGAAACTGCATTCCTTTATCCTCTGATTCCCTCACAATCACCAAATCTCCCAATTTACTGTTATCCATTGGTGTTGGCCTCAATTAAGCATACTGATCCCAAAGTGATTTTAGTCTCCCATAGTAAGCAGCCATAGTGGCATCTCCCTGTCTTGTCAAAGTTATGTCTCGCTTGATCTCAAACAGCCGTGGTAGATTCGTAGTTTCATATTGTTCTGCTACATCTTTCCAAAGTGTTTTGGCATCATAGATGAAAGCAAACATGTTAGCTATTTCAGGTATCATATAGCTCTTGATCCATGAGCATACAAGGCCTGTTTGCCTGTTTCCATCGAGCAAAGTGAGGTGGATTTATGGCCGGTTTGATCAAACTTCCGGTGACAAAGCCATCTTTCATCTTTGCTTCTAAAGCTGAAAGCATTGCCCCCTTCCAAATCAAATAATTCTTGTCGTGGAGCAACACAGATACTAGAGGTGTTCCAGGATTCTCTGATCTATGTACTTGTAGCAGAACATCGATCAATGCCTCCATTTCTCTCCTTTCATCTCTTCCTATCAGATTATCACAACGTCCTGTCAATTCTTCCATTCTTCTCAAAATATATGATGATTTTATCAAGAATATTCCAGATCTAAGAACCAGTGCCTTCAAGAACTTATCAAAGTAAAGAAAAAACAACAAAATCAATCGATTACAAGTAATTCTGCAGCAGAAATCAGAACACGATCAAACCTACTCTGATACCATCATATAGATTGGGATCAATCATTGAAGAGGAATAAAAAAAAGATAAAAAAGGATCAAGAAATCAAGACAGATCAAAGCAATAAATGCTAGGGTTCAAATCTTGGAGAAAAAAGTTTCTAAAGTTGGGGCAAAATATTGTGTATAGTTTCTATGCTCTGTACATTTGCTCACCTGAAATCTATCTATATATACACAATCTAATGAGTAATTATTTACACACTCTAAACTAATGGTGCTTGCTGAGTTCACCAAAAAAATATATTACTAGTTTGGATTATGAGTTTTGTAGATAATGGAAGCTAGGTCGATCCCACGAGGACAGCTAATTACCAAATTTGTTGTAAAGAAAAACTACCAGTCAGACAAGGTGTCACTCAGGGGAATGAAGCCAAAGGTGTTCTTCTCCTCTTCCTACTGTTGTAGTTGTTTTAGTAGCACTGTAATGGTCGAGTTGTTGTTCATTCAGCTCACTTATAACTCTGAGTCAGTTCCCATTTTTCCTAGAGTCATTTTTGCAACCTTAACAACCTATTTTCCAATGATTGATTCCAGCCACAAAGTCATTAAGTTCTTAGGCCTTCACGAATGCTTATGTTAACTAAGTATATTCCTATCTTAGTTAAAACCATAGATTGTTACCTCTATGTCATAAGTTAAAGTTGAAACAATCCAAACCAAGTTTATCTTTCCAGATCTCCCTTAGTTCTAGCATGCATTCAATTTAGTGATCAAGTAAATGAATGTAGAAAAACTTTCAACCATAAAACAAGGAACAAAACCAGTGCTTTAACAACTACAACATCAGTTGAGGAGAATAACCCCTGGGAACTGTTTAGCTAATCATACAGATTAATGCTACGTCTACTACATCAAAAGACATCATAGAAGTATGCATAATAAACAAAGTTCAAGCTAACAATCAAGAGATGAGAAAAAGCTTGTGCAGTTTTTGAGCCACTCCTGGGAGTGAAAGGGTTCACTCGTGGAACTGAAGCAGAAACTGGGTTGCTACTCTTCAACTTGGCTTCCTCACTGAGTTGTTGCTGCTTCTTCTTCTTTCTTGCCTTCTACCTGGAATTTTTCTTAGTGTTTTTGGCAACTGAAAAGGGTAACCAGAGATTCAGATCGATCCCCCTTATTTGAGAGTGTACTTCCCTCTTTTATAGGGCCTTGCAACCGGTTTCTTCATCATGAGAGCCTCCTCATGTTGTTTAATCCTCCCAATGTCTTGAGCCTGCAATCCAACTTGGCCGTTCTTTTTCTCTTCTTCCAGCAGTGGCCGTCTTGCTCTCATTGATCAGCAGAGGTGGCTGAGATTGCGGCTGGGGGACAAGCATGCCTCTTGGAGGAGGCAAAGTCATTAATGACAAGATGCTTCTTGTCTAAGGGCCTTCTTCTTCGTCCAGCTCAGCAACATTGCCTCAGCAGCCCATAAATTGTTCTCTTGGCCTCCAATTTTCAGCAATTATTCAATCCAGCCCTTACCTAACAACAACACGAAAAAGAGTTAAGTAAATTGCACCAATGTTAGGAAATACCCCCAATTTCCTATCTAATGCAGAGTTAATTGTAATGCTTTTATGTAACAATTTAGCCATTATCAACTCCCCCAAACTGGAAGAATTGCTTGTCCTCAAGCAAAACAACTAAACTCTTGTAGGCACTTTTAGAATTGCACATAACAAACAGGGGAGACAACATTGTCAAAATGACTGAGGATTGACTTACTCCCCTGAGTGAGGATTCCCACTCAGGCAGGTGGCATTACACAAAGCAACAACCTTAGACACAACTAGATAGGTGCTGTCAACTTTCTGTCTCAGATTCAAGTGAAGAAAACATACATTGAAGGATACCAAATCTTTCTGCAATCCAGAATCAAACAACCAACCTTCACAGGGAATTAGAATGTATATGCCACAAGTGTTCGTTCATGCCAAACCTACCAATCCATTCTAAGTTAACCGGTTAAGCTTTTGGTGGTCATTCTTGTGATCTGGTCTTACCCAAGTTACTTGACTCGATTTACCTACTGAGACTTCAATCCTGAACTTCCTGCACAGCCTTTATGCTTTTTTTTTTTTTTTTTTTTTTTTGGGTAGATGGGATGTAGATGGACCAACCTACAAGGGTGTTATTCAACCTTATCTCTCCACTGCCTTATACCTCAACCCTTATTACTCCCACAGTTTGGAACTTTTTGTGGTGGTTCCTTGCTGTTACCCCTAAGGTTTCAGTTGATCCATTCCCTAAAATTTATATTTATTATTATTATTATTATTATTATTATTTTTAAAACAAGCAAGCAGGCTGTGAATGGATACCACAAAGGAAGTCTCAGATTTACGGCATCTCTCATCTAATTGTAGCTCAGAACTAGACACAGCTCACAACAGTGGATTAGTCATGCCAAATTTTAAGATTTATGTTCTAGGCAGTCACTTCCACGAGTGGCATTGTTCATTTGTGTGAGTGAGTGTCAGTCATTCTTTCTTTCATGCATCAGACTCAGTATCAAAAAGTGGTTTAGCAAAATTGTTTTTCAAAACCATTATCATCCTAGACTGTTGACAGCTCCTTAGAAGATTTTCATTTTTGAGAGATATTTTACAGAGTCAATCTAGACATGAACCTAATGGACCTAAATGACAACTGTCCTGACATTGACCTAACCACAAACTAACTACTACATTACTACTCCCCCAAACTTATTCTAAGCATTGCCCTCAATGCTTAACAACACCAACCCGGCAACATACATTAAACAGAAAACAAAGAAAAATACAGAAAACAACACATTAAACATTAAAAAGGAAACAAATAAATTGCTGATTAAGGGAAGTAGAACAATACTTCCCTGAGTGTTCATTGAGGCATGCCATGGAGTGGGTGGACTGTGGATCATGCGGCATTGAGCAGTTTTCGGGGCATCCAATGCACTTGTGCATTTCCTGCAGGAATTTCTCCGTCCTCATCTGGCATTGGTGGACGTAATCCAGGATAAACCTAGTCTGCTTGTTGAAATCCCTCTGCCTCAATTGTCCAGCTGGAGTGGGAGTGGATGTTGCTTGTCCTGAGGATGAGGCACCTGGGGGTTTCTGGTCCAACTTATGCATCCTCAAGGGTTGCTGCAAGTTGCTCTCTGCGTCTGTGTACAGGAAGGTCACCCCTGCCCTTTTGCACAACATGGTGACCATAACTGGGAAATACCAGCTCTTCACCTTTGGATCAGTGATGCATCGGGTGAGTTGCTCTCGGATGACTGAGGCTGCATCAATGGTGTGTCCGTGACAATGGCATACAACAGCAGAGCCATCTCATAGGTGACCTTAGCAGTGTAGGAAGTTGGCATCAGATTGCAGCAGATGAAATGGTGCCACAAATTTAAATCAGGCGTCTGCAACGCGTTTGCTGGAAATCCCAAAGGGTTTTCTTGATCATCCATCTCCCAGCTTGTGCCTTCTTTTGCCAATCTAGACAGAATGGCTTGTTCCAGTGGTTGATTTGGATGCAGGGCAGCCAGGATTTCTCTGTAATCGGTTCTGATTCTTGGTAACTTCCAGATGGCTCTGATAGCTTCTGTGCTGCAATTGACGCTGATGCCTTTGACGAATACTCCGTCTCTGGGGGCAGTGTGGAAGTTGCCATAAAATTCTTGCACAATCTGGATCCTCGGCTTGACAAGTGGGTTGGAGAAGGTCTCCCAGCCATGGCGCTTGATGTAGGCAAAAGCTGCACCGTCTTCACCGATTCCCCTTTCTGTAATGAATTTTTGCCTTATGTGCTTCAAAAAGAAATCCCAGCCCTTCTTCCTTGGAAACAACCTGGGCTCACACACTCATCTGTGATGGCATTGAGGGCTTGTTCTTGCAACGCCCTTGGTGGTTGTGGAGGTGGCGGTGGGGTAGGTTCTCTGGCAGGGGACGATGGTGGAGTGGGCATTCTTTGCCGTTCAGGAGAGGGCGAGGATGAGGAGGATGATATCCTTCTTCTTGTGTTGGAGGCGTTTTTGCGGGCAACAGCCTTCCTCCTTGCCGGCGGCATCTTTTACAAACCCTAAGAGTTGAGTTGGAAAATTGAAAGAGGGGTTTTATGATTGAATCTGAAATTTGCCTTAGTATCCTGGAAACTCAGAGAAATTGTCAGTATGTTCACATAGGGAAGTGGTGTTTGAAGAAGTGATTCTGGAAATAAGAAGAAATTGAAGAAGACAAAGCAATGGAGGAGTTGTGAGTTAATGCACAGCAGTTAAAGTTTTTAGAAATCGTGCCTGACCCAAGTGACTCAAAAAGGCGGACGTGGTTAAAATTGAAATTTGAAAATTTTCGGAAAAATTTCCCCCCAAACTTAAACCATAATTACAGCTCAAAAAGGTGACTTTTTGCAGAAAGTGTCGTACAGTTGTTCTTACTCCGGCGAGTGGATTTTTCCACTTGCGTGAGTGACGTCAGGGTTAGAAAACTCTCAGAATTACCTTCTCGTAGGTTCACTCGGTTGAGTGGCCTTCTTCACTCCTGGGAGTGAGTTTACCTGAGGCCTTTTATGTTACACTTTCTGAGATCTGTTGGAGTGGCAAATACCTTGTTCATTCCTGCAAAAAATTAGAGTAGCACATTGTTAGCCACATAAAAGCAAAACGTATGGGTTGCCTCCCATAAAGCGCATTGGTTTTAAGTCTCATGCCAGACTTCAAAAGAAATTTCAGTCAAGTTCTTTCAGGACCAGAACTTGATAGTTCTATCCCTTACTCCCTTCTGTCCATCCAAGGTATGGTTTAAGCCTCTGACCATTAACCAAAAAGGTGTTGCCACTTTGCGGATTCATGATCTCCACTGCTCCCTGAGTTAGGACCTTGCTGATTTTGTAGGGCGGGGTCCATCTTGATTTCAACTTCACTGGAAAGAATTTCAGCCTGGAATTGTACAACAAGACCTCTTGTCCTTCTTGGAAGTTTTTCTTGACAATGTGTTGATCATGGTAAGCTTTAGTTTTCTCTTTATAGACTCTGGACGATTCGTATGCCTCTAGTCTGAATTCTTCCAGTTCATTCAACTGAATCAATCTCAATTCCTTGCTTTTGCTCGGATCAAGATTCAGTTCCTTGATAGCCCAGTAAGCTTTGTGTTCCAACTCTACTGGCAAGTGGCATGCTTTCCCATAGACCAGTTTGAACGGGGACATACCAATGGGAGTCTTGTATGCTGTTCTATATGCCCATAAAACTTCATCCAGCCGTGAAGACCAATTCTTCCTGGTAGAATTGACAACCTTTTCCAGGATTCTTTTCACTTCCCTGTTTGACACTTCCGCCACCTCATTTGATTGTGGATGGTATGGTGTTGATATTTTGTGCCTGATTCCATATTTCTTTACCATGGCTGTAAACGACTTGTTATAGAAGTGTGATCCTTCGTCACTGAGTATCATCCTGGGTGTACCAAACCTGACAAAAATATTTTTTCTTAGAAACCTGAGAACAGTTTTAGCATCATTGTTCTTTGCAGCTACGGCTTCTATCCATCTTAAAACATAATCCACTGCCAGTAGGATGTAGGAGTTCCCAAAGGATGACACGAAGGGACCCATGAAGTCTATCCCCCACACATCACTTCAAGCACGTTCTACTGTGGCATCTCATTTTTCCAGGAAATATTTCCTGTCCTTTGGCACCGTCACAACCTTTGACAAATTCTCTTGCATCTCTGAACAGGGTTGGCCAGTACAGTCCAGCTTGCAGAACCTTGATTGTCGTCCTTTGACCGTTGAAATGTCCACCATAGGGGGAACTGTGGCATTTGTGCAACACCTCTGTGAATTTAGATTCTGGAATGCACCTTCTGATCAATTGGTTTACACATCTTTTGAACAAGTAGGGTTCATCCCATAGGTAGAGTTGAGCATCATGTGAGAATCTCTTGCGTTGTTGAGGGGTGAGATCTGGGGGAATAACACCAGCAGCAACAAAGTTAGCAAAATCTGCAAACCAAGGCCTGTTACCTGTCACTCCCATGAGTGTGCCTGTCACTCGCTAGAGTGACTCATCAGGGAATTTTTCTGAAATTGGAGTTGTGTCTTCTGGAATTTCTTCAAGCCTTGACAGATGGTCTGCTACCTGATTCTCAGTACCCTTTCTGTCTCTTATCTCCAAATCAAATTCCTGCAACAATAACACCCATCTAATCAACCTTGGTTTAGACTCTTTTTTGTTGATCAAGTACCTGATGGCTGCATGGTCGGTATAGACTATGACTCTCATTCCTAGCAAATAAGCTCTGAATTTGTCAAATGCAAATACAATTGCCAGCATTTCCTTCTCTCTGTAGTGGTGTAGTGGCTTGTGCAGGGTTAAGGGTTTTACTAGCATAGTAAACCACATGTAACACCTTGTTCCTTCTTTGTCCAAGTAAAACACCAACTGCAAAATCACTTGCGTCACACATTAGTTCAAAAGGTTGTGACCACTCAGGTGTGATGATCACAGGTGCGGTGATGAGTTTCTTTTTCAGTTCAGTGAATGCATTTAAACAGGATTCATCAAAAATAAAAGCAGTGTCCTTTTCAAGCAAGTTGCACAAGGGTTTAGAAATTTTTGAAAAATCTTTAATGAACCTCCTGTAAAAACCGGCATGGCCTAAAAAACTTCTCACTCCCCTGACTGTGGTTGGTGGGCTGAGTCTCTCAATGACCTCAATCTTTGCCTTATCCACTTCAATTCCTTCCTGTGAGATCTTATGCCCCAAGACAATTCCCTCAGTTACCATAAAATGCCATTTCTCCCAGTTGAGAACCAGGTTGGCTTCTATACATCTTTTCAGTATCAACCCAAGGTTGTCCAAACATGCATCGAATGTCTTATCAAAAACCGAGAAATCGTCCATAAAGATCTCAATTATGTCTTCCACCATATCAGAGAAAATGGCCATCATACATCTTTGAAAAGTTGCCGGTGCATTGCACAGTCCAAATGGCATTCTCTTGAAGGCAAATGTACCATAAGGGCAGGTAAAAGTCGTCTTCTCTTGATCATCAGGGTCTATGGCAATCTGGCTGTAACCTGAGAAACCATCAAGGAAACAATAGTACATGAATCCAGCCAATCTATCTATCATTTGATCGATAAAGGGAAGGGGAAAGTGGTCCTTTCTGGTAGCTTTGTTAAGCTTCCTGTAGTCCATGCACACTCTCCATGAATTGTTCAGCCTTGTAGGGATCAGCTCCTGGAGGTCATTCTTTATCACCGTGATTCCTCCCTTCTTGGGCACGCATTGCACTGGACTCACCCACTTGCTATTAGATATTGGGAAGATAATCCCTGCATCCAACAGCTTGATAATCTCCTTTTTCACCACTTCCTTCATGACTGGGTTGAGTCTTCTTTGTCCTTTAATGGTTGGCTTGGCGTCATCTTCAAGCAGGATTTTGTGCATGCATATGGAGGGGTTGGTGCCCTTAATGTCTGCAATTGACCACCCAATGGCTTCCTTGTGCAATCTCAGTACTCTCAGCAATTTGTCCTCTTCAGTACCTGTAAGTATAGAAGAAATGATCACAGGTAAGGTGTTACTTGCTCTAATATAGGCGTACTTCAAATGTGAGGGCAGAGGATTAAGTTCGAGATGAGGTGGTTCTTCAATTGAAGGTTTGAGGCATCTTCCTTCCTTGGTCAGATTTATCAGTTCAAAGGGTTGCTGTTTAGGATGCCACTTGGGGGAGTGGTTCAGGTAGCTCAGGCAAGTGGCCCTGTACTCATCCCCTCCTTCCTGTTCCTCATTACAGCTTGGGCATAAAAGTTCCTTGAGGAGATCATCTTGTAGTAATTCTTCCATCACTGCTTCCTCTGCTTCTACATTTCTTACCATGTAGCAGTCGGGGACTTCAGCGGGATATCTCATATTTTTGAAGATGTTGAAGGTAACCCTCTCTCCATCAAAGTGCAGTGTGATTTCTCCCTTTTTCACTTTAATGATTGCATCACTTGTTGCCAGAAAAGGTCTCCCCAAGATGATGGGTACATCCCTGTCTTCTTCCATGTTCAAAACCACAAAGTCTGCTGGGTACACGAAATTACCAACTTTCACAAGAACATCATGTAAGATTCCTTTTGGGTAGGTAAGTGATCTGTCTCCCAACTGCAAGGTCATGTTAGTAGGTACCAGAAATTTGTCCAGATCAAGGGATTTAAATACAGACAATGGCATGAGATTTATACTTCCACCAAGATCTAGTAATGCTTTTGAAAATTCTCTGATTCCTACAGTGCAAGGAAGAGTGAAACTACCCGGATCTTTTAGCTTAGGTGGTAATTTTCTCAGGATAGCTGCACTACATTCTTCATTTAGAGTGACAAAAGCAGAGTTATGCATTTGTGGCTTATTTGCCACCAAATCTTTCAAGTACTTGAAGTATTTAGGCATTTGTTTAAGTGCATCAACAAGTGGTACATTAATATGTATGCTCTCTAAGTTTTGAATAAACCTGTTGAGCCCTTCATCCATTTTTGCTTTCTTTTGTCTTATCGGATATGGTGGGGTTGGAGCTGGCTGTTGTGGTTCCTTAATTGGTGCTGGGAATTGAATTTCCTCCATTCCAGGTTTTTCAGCTGTTTGCTCCTGTTCAACCACATCATCATTATTAGATATTTTCTCAGAAAATGTTTCATTCTTACCTGCAAGATCACTCACAGGAGTGACTTTTTCACTTGGCTGATTGAGTTGCTTTCTACTTCTGAGAGTGACAGCCTTTGCTTGCTCTTGGTCATTCCCCTTGGGGTTCATAATTGTATCACTGGGCAGGCTCCCAGATGGTCTCTCAGCATTTTGCTTTGCAATTTGGGCCAACTGATTTTCCAAACTTTTGCAAGACACCGCCAAACTCTTGATTGCATTTTGTACAGAAATCCATTCATCTTTCCTTGGTATGTATTGTTGGTTAGAACGTTGCTGATTCTGATAGTTGGGAAGTTGACCATCTTGTCTGTGAAATCCTGGGGGTTGAGCAGGCCTTTGATAGTTTCCTTGTTGTGGTGCATTGTTCCAGTTGGTCTGTTGCTGATTTTTCCAATTGTTGAAGTTGTTGAATCCCCCAGCATTGCCTTGTTTGACAAACTGGACAGCTTCCATTTTGGAGGGACAGTCATCCAAACTGTGGGATCCATCACATAATACACACACTTCAGCCTTGGATTGGACAACTCACTTCTGAGTTTAGTCATTTCGTTCATCATAACAGCCATTTGAGCTTGTAGATGTGTACCGGGATCAAGTTCCATCATCCCTGGCTGTTTTGTACTTGCCCTTGGATCAGATTGCCATCTTGAATGGTTGGTGGTCATATTGTCGAGCGACTGCCTTGCTGCATCAACCAGCTTCATCATAAATACACCACCAGCTGCAGCATCAAGGGAGTCTCTTGTAGTTGGTAGCATACCATTGTAGAAGATGCTCAGTTGAAGATGCTCTTCCAAACCATGCTGAGGGCATTTTCCGACCATTTCCTTCAATCTTTCCCATGCTTCATAAAGTGTTTCGGTTTCATGCTGCTTGAAGTTCATTATTGCTGTTCTGAGTTGTGCAGCTTTTGCAGGTGGAAAGAATTTTGTCAGGAAACACTGTCTTAACTCTTCCCAAGTGGAGATAAAGTTGTTGGGTAATGTGTTGAACCATGCTTGGGCGTGATCCTGCAAGGTAAAAGGGAATATTCTCAGTCTAATGTCATCATTAGATAAGCCTTGAATTTTAAAAGTACTGCATAAATGCAGGAAACTTCGGATGTGATCATTAGGATCTTCATGAGGTAATCCATGGAATGGGCAGGCTGATTGAGTCCATTGGATCATCTGTGGTTTGAGCTCAAAATTGGTTGCTTCTACATCAGGGAACACTAAAGGAGATTGGACTTCTTCTTGCTGTGGGATGAAGAAATCTCTAAGGAGTCTCTCTGGTCGATTTTGTTGATCCCCACCAGGGTTCATATTGTTCTCCGGGTTACCACCTTGGTTAGCCATCTCTGATGAACCTTCCTGGTTGTCCTGTTGCAACCGGTTCTGCCTTCTTCTTGCTGCTCTGGTTCTACGTATGGTAGCTTTAATTTCTGGGTCAAAAACAGGTTCACTTCGTTGGTGCCTTCTAGTCGTACACCAAAGAAAAGAAACTGGAAGCTTAGTGAGGTAACCAGAGAAGAATTTTATATATGTACAAACAAACAAAAACAACTAATTTTTCAATGTTTTACGCCGTCCCCGGCAACGACGCCACTTTCTGGTGCTTGCCGAGTTCACCAAAAAAAAAATACTAGCTTTGATTATGAGTTTTGTAGATAATGGAAGCTAGGTCGATCCCACGAGGATAGCTAATTACCAAATTTGTTGTAAAGAAAAACTACCAGTCAGACAAGTTGTCACTCAGGGGAATGAAGACAGTCACTCAGGGGAATGAAGCCAGGGGTGTTCTTCTCCTATTCCTACTGTTGTAGTTGTTTTAGTAGCACTGTAATGGTCGAGTTCTTGTTCATTCAGCTCACTTATAACTCTAAGTCAGTTCCCATTTTTCCTAGAGTCATCTTTGCAACCTTAACAACCTATTTTCCAATGATTGATTCCAGCCACAAAGTCATTAAGTTCTTAGGCCTTCACGAATGCTTATGTTAACTAAGTATATTCCTATCTTAGTTAAAACCATAAACTGTTACCTCTATGTCATAAGTTAAAGTTGAAACAATCCAAACCAAGTTTATCTTTCCAGATCTCTCTTAGTTCTAGCATGCATTCAATTTAGTGATCAAGTAAATGAATGTAGAAAAACTTTCAACCATAAAACAAGGAACAAAACCAGTGCTTTAACAACTACAACATCAGTTGAGGAGAATAACCCCTGGGAACTGTTTAGCTACTCATACAGATTAATGCTACGTCTACTACATCAAAAGACATCATAGAAGTATGCATAATAAACAAAGTTCAAGCTAACAGTCAAGAGATTAGAAAAAGCTTGTGCAGTTTCTGAGCCACTCCTGGGAGTGAAAGGGTTCACTCATGGAACTGAAGCAGAAACTGGGTTGCTACTCTTCAGCTTGGCTTCCTCACTGAGTTGTTGTTGCTTCTTCTTCTTTCTTGCCTTCTACCTGGAATTTTTCTTAGTGTTTTTGGCAACTGAAAAGGGTAACCAGAGATTCGGATCGATCCCCCTTATTTGAGAGTGCAGTTCCCTCTTTTATAGGGCCTTGCAACCGGTTTCTTCATCATGAGAGCCTCCCCATGCTTGTAGTTGTTTAAAATTCTTCTCTGGTTACCTCACTAAGCTTCCAGTTTCTTTTCTTTGGTGTATGACTAGAAGGCACCAACGAAGTGAACCTGTTTTTGACCCAGAAATTGAAGCTACCATCCGTAGAACCAGAGCAGCAAGAAGAAGGCAGAACCGGTTGCAACAGGACAACCAAGAAGGTTCATCTGAAATGGCTAACCAAGGTGGCAATCCTGAGAACAATAGGAACCCTGGTGGGGATCAACAAAATCGACCAGAAAGACTGCTTAGAGATTTCTTCATCCCACAGCAAGAAGAAGTCCAATCTCCTCTAGTGTTCCCTGATGTAGAAGCAACCAATTTTGAGCTCAAGCCATAGATGATCCAATGGACTCAATCAGCCTGCCCATTCCATGGATTACCTCATGAAGATCCTAATGATCACATCCGAAGTTTCCTGCGTTTATGCAGTACTTTTAAAATTCAAGGCTTATCTAATGATGACATTAGACTGAGACTATTCCCTTTTACATTGCAGGATCACGCCCAAGCATGGTTCAACACATTACCCAACAACTCCATTTCCACTTGGGAAGAGTTAAGGCAGTGTTTCCTAACAAAATTTTTTCCACCTGCAAAAGCCGCACAACTCAGAATAGCAATAATGAATTTCAAGCAGTACGGAACAGAAACACTTTATGAAGCATGGGAAAGATTGAAAGAAATGGTCAGAAAATGCCCTCAGTATGGTTTGGAAGAGCATCTTCAACTAAGCATCTTCTACAATGGTCTGCTACCAACTACAAGAGACTCCCTTGATGCTGCAGCTGGTGGGGTATTTATGATGAAGCCGGTTGATGCAGCAAGGCAGTTGCTCGACAATATGACCACCAACCATTCAAGATGGCAATCTGATCCAAGGGCAAATTCAAAACAGCCAGGGATGATGGAACTTGATCCCAGTACACATCTACAAGCTCAAATGGCTGTTATGATGAATGAAATGACTAAACTCAGAAGTGAGCTGTCCAAATCCAAGGCAGAAGTATGTGTATTATGTGATGGATCCCACAGTTTGGACGACTGCCCTTCCAAAATGGAAGCTGTCCAGTTTGTCAGACAGGGCAATGCTGGGGGATTCAACAATTGGAGAAATCAGCAACAGACCAACTGGAACAATGCTCCACAGCAAGGAAATTATCAAAGGCCTGCTCAACCCCCAGGATTCCACAGACAAGATGGTCAGCTTCACAACTATCAGAATCAGCAACGTTCTAACCAACAATACATACCAAGGGAAGATGAATGGATTTCTGTACAAAATGCAATCAAGAATTTGGCGGTGTCTTGCAAAAGTTTGGAAAATCAGTTGGCCCAGATTGCAAAACAAAACGCTGAAAGACCATCTGGGAGCCTGCCCAGTGATACAATTGTGAACCCCAAGGGGAATGACCAAGAGCAAGCGAAGGCTGTCACTCTCCGAAGTGGAAGGCAACTCAATCAGCCAAGTGAAGAAGTCACTCCTGCGAGTGACCCTGCAGGTAAGAATGAAACTTCTTCTAAGCAAATATCTGATAATGATGACGTGGTTGAACAGGAGCAACCTGCTGAAAAACCTGGGATGGAAGAAATTCAATTCCCAGCACCAATTAAGGAACCACAACAGCCAGCTCCGACGCCACCATACCTAGTAAGACAGAAGAAAGCAAAAATAGATGAAGGACTCAACAGGTTTATTCAGAATTTAGAAAGTATACAATTAATGTACCACTTGTTGATGCACTTAAACAAATGCCCAAATACTTCAAGTACTTGAAGGATTTGGTGGCAAATAAGCCACAATTGCATAACTCTGCTTTTGTCACTCTAAATAAAGAATGTAGTGCAGCTATCCTGAGGAAATTACCACCTAAACTGAAAGATCCAGGTAGTTTCACTCTTCTTTGCACTGTAGGAATCAGAGAATTTTCAAAAGCATTACTAGATCTTGGTGCAAGCATAAATCTCATGCCATTGTCTGTATTTAAATCCCTTGATCTGGACAAATTTCTGGTACCTACTAACATGACCTTGCAGTTGGCATACAGATCTCTGACTTACCCAAGAGGAATCTAACATGATGTTTTTGTGAAAGTTGGTAACTTTGTTTACCCAGCAGATTTTGTGGTTTTGGACATGGAAGAAGACAGGGATGTACCCATCATCTTGGGGAGACCTTTTCTGGCAACAAGCGATGCAATCATTAAGGTGAAAAAGGGAGAAATCACACTGCACTTTGATGGGGAGAAGGTTACCTTTAACATCTTCAAAAATATGAGATATCCCGATGAAGTCCACGACTGTTACATGATAAGAAATGTAGAAGCAGAGGAAGCAGTGACTGAAGAATTACTGCAAGATGATCTCCTCAAAGAACTGTTATGCCCAGGCTATAATGAGGAACAGGAAGGAGGGGATGAGTACAGGGCCACTTGCCTGAGCTACCTGAACCACTCCCCCAAGTGGCATCCTAAACAGCAACCCTTTGAGCTGATAAATCTGACCAAGGAAGGAAGATGCCTCAAACCTTCAGTTGAAGAACCACCTCATCTCGAGCTTGATCCTCTGCCCTCACATTTGAAGTACGCCTATATTGGAGCAAGTAACACCTTACCTGTAATCATTTCTTCTGTGCTCACAGGTACTGAAGAGGACAAATTGCTGAGAGCACTGAGATTGCACAAGGAAGCCATTGGGTGGTCAATTGCTGACATTAAGGGCATCAGCCCCTCCATATGCATGCACAAAATCCTGCTTGAAGATGACGCCAAGCCAACCATTGAAGGACAAAGAAGACTTAACCCAGTCATGAAGGAAGTGGTGAAAAAGGAGATTATCAAGCT